TTTTAGCCTTTTGTTTCTGATCATGGGGCGTTCTTGGCAAAGATACTGGAGTGGCATTGCCATTTCCTACTCCAGGTGGATTGCGTTTAGTCGGAACTGTCCACTATGTCCTGTCTGTCTTGGGTGTCCCTGCACGGCATAGCCCATAGCTTCTCTGAGTTACTCAAGCCCCTTCACCACGACAAGGCAGCAATCCATGAAGGGGAGTAACTTGGTAGTTATTGGGAAACCTGCTCTCAGTGATTTGTGTATGTAGTGGCAGAACTTTTCATTGAAGGACGCCTGATAATCATGTTGTTGTTGTTGTTGTTGTTGTTGTTGTTGTTATTATTATTATTATTATTGTAAGAAACTGTATAGAATTTTCTGGAGCTGTTTTTTAAAAAACTACTGGAGTAGTCCACTGAAAAACTATTATTCACAGAATGTGTCATGAATAGAAGTGTAATTCTGAATGGTCCCACTTGAATGATTGTGTGTCATTGCTGTCTTAGTTTGCAGGCTTTTCAGCAGAATCACTTTGTGAGAGAATCCTGGATTCCAACTGCTCCCTTCTCATTACTGCAGGTAAAAAGAGCCCTTTCATAAGCTACAGGTCATTTAACCTTTCAATCAAAACAATACATTCACAAGGAGTAACAATTAATGCAGCTTTTTGTATTCTGCATGTTTTGGGGAAGAGGAAGGAGTTGCTTTTGACCTCACTTGCAATTCCTGGATATGCTCTGCCAGTGCACACATGGGTTATATGTCACAATTTCCAGGCAAAGTAGGTTGTTATAGGAGCTTCTACATTCAGTGACTTCTATTGCAGCAGGCTCTTCACAAGCAATGAATTTCCAACAGTGTGTTGCTAAGCAGCTTCTCTGGACATCTATGGCCTGAATCCAGTTGGCAGTCTCAACTAGAGTAGACCCATTGAATCATTAAATCAGTAGGATTTATTTAATTGTTGATTCACCATTCAGCAATGGATTCAATGGGACTAGGCAGTTGGATTCAGGCCAATAGCTGCAATTCTAGATGCACTTATCTGAGAGACCCACTAAAGACATAGGGACTTCCATCTGAGTATGCTTGCAAGGGACTGTGCAATTAATGCAGTACTCCCGATTTTATGATTTGACACTCCGTTTGGCTTTCTATGCCATATAAATAATTAAATTAATGTATTCAATATTCTCAAGGCATCCAGTAGTCTAGCAGCTGGAATGACATCTTAATCTTGTAACATAAGTGATGCAGCATCTACAGACTACTCCCCTGCCAACTGTTCCGTCATGTTCTGTGTAGTAATGAGGATGCTATTAATAAAACCGAGATATGGAAAAGTCCATTAGCTCATCCAGTTCTTTCTGACTGTTGCTTAAAGAATGCTTCTGAGACTACTGCTTACTTCAAACTCCAGGTTTCACTGAATTCCATAGTTTATTTGTTGTTGCTATTCTTACAATGATAGGCCTTTCATTTAGCAAATTTCCCCTGAATTTAATTCCATCATTTCCTGTCCTTTGACTTTACATCAGTTCCTCCCTTTTCTGTGATGACCTTCAAGTGCTTACAGGCTGTTATGGCAAGCCAGTTTAATGATTTACTTGCTCTTTTGTAGATGCCTTTTATAGAGGTGATAAGCTGATTAACCTGAAGCAGATAGCAGATGAAGCCTTGCAGAAATGTAAAGATAAGTAAGTCTACTTTCTCTGGATAAAGGAAATTCCCACTGGAAGCTTTTGTATAGGCATGAACATTCAAATAATTGTGGTCTCAGAAATACCACAGCATAGTTACCACAGAGATTTTGATATATATAAAGTTGGAAAACCTATATGCAGTTTAGATTGAGTCCTTTTGGAAAAGCTCCTTAAATCAGAACATTTAGTTTGGAACTGTACGAGTTATCCATTATGTAGGTCTTTTTTCCCTGTTGTCTGTTTTTAAAATGGAAATTGGTGGCTTTACATCAAAAATTACTCACTAAAAATTAAATTAGGGCAGAAATTTGAAAATGCACTTCTGAATATTTTGTAAAAGTAAGATTTGGCTTACAAAGTTTCATTTCAGCTATCACTCAGAGGCCAAAATCCTGTTGTTAAGTGTAGTAAATTGCTACAGTATTTGACTTAACAAACTTTTGATGCTATTTATTTTATACAATTTCACCCAGCCTACTTATCATAGAGACTGAAATTTGCTCAATCAAAGGACCTGAAATCTACTGCGATCTTGAAATGGTTTAGGCTCATGGTCTCATCTTCCCTTTTCTTGCAGCGGTGCCCCTCTGCAATTGTGCATTGTGGTCAAGCATCTAGGAAGAGAAGAACTGGTACTAGATGGGCCAAGCAGCAAGTCTCCACCTCTGAAGAGACTCTGCCAGAGTGTGCAGGTGAGGAGATTCTCTTTGGGGCTTGAGTAGACCTTTTTCTTCTTTTAGGAGAGAAGAAGAGAGAGATAACTGTGGATTTCTAATTCTTCTGTTGTGGGAAGTTCAGATTCCCCCTGCTCTGGATTGTGCCTTAGATGTTCTTGGGCGAAAGTATCAACTTAATCCTGCAGGGCATTGCAGCAAGAATGTATTTCTCTCTCTGGCAAGCATTACGTTTTAATTGAGATTTTTATGTTCAGTAATGTGGCTGTGTGACCATCACACCCAGCCACTGGAGAGTACAGTGGTACCTCGACTTGAGAATGTTCCTATATAAGAACGATTCGAATTAAGAAGGTTCTTGGGCGAAAGTATCAACTTAATCCTGCAGGGCATTGCAGCAAGAATGTATTTCTCTCTCTGGCAAGCATTACGTTTTAATTGAGATTTTTATGTTCAGTAATGTGGCTGTGTGACCATCACACCCAGCCACTGGAGAGTACAGTGGTACCTCGACTTGAGAATGTTCCTATATAAGAACGATTCGAGTTAAGAACAGCTCTGTTCACAAAACGTTGCTTTGATGTGAGAATAGTGCGTCGACTTAAGAACCAAAAAAAGAAAAAAACCACACCTTTCCTGCCCCTTTTTTTTGACCCAAGTTCACCTTAGGTCCAAAGAAGAAATTTTTTTAAAAAAAAATTGCCCGCTAGTGGTAGATATGGATTAACCGGCTTTGCATTAGTTCCTATGGGAACTAATGCTTCAACTTAAGAACAGTGCCTCGACTTAAGAACAAAAAACAGCAGATATGGATTAAATGGTTTTCAATGCATCCCTATGGGAAATGGTGCTTCGACGTAAGAACGCAGTCCCAATACGGATTAAGTTCTTAAGTCGAGATACCACTGTAACTGCAATATCACTTACAACTCATTATTCTATGATTTTATATTTGTCTGTGTGTGTATGTGTGTGCATTACATATCACACACACACATATATAATATTACATACACACACACACACACACACACAATTTTTAACATTTATTTCAGGATGATTTCATATGGTCTTTTAACAGCCAACAGAAGAGTGGTACTCATAAACAAAATTATTTTCTTCTTTTCCCATACCCCAGCCATTTATTGTCACTGTGCAAATTTTTCTTCTTTAAAATATATGTGCATCTAAATGCATCTAAGATTTGCTAATATGTATAGCAAAATAAAGTTTCTTCCACAGTCGAGTTAAAATCCAAAAGCTTTCTAGAATAGCTGGCCTTAGCCACTTCTGTGAAGAAATTAAGAAGTATAGGTGTTTCCTTATCTTGCTCTTGAACAAGACTTAGATTGGGATGGTTAGTGTTCCCAGGAATGCAGTCATGTTTAAAAAATGAAAACTTATTTACTTTACATATATGTCATTTATTTTCTTTGTGTGATATATTCTTTCCCCTCTGAGTCTTGAGGCTTATTTTCCTCATTAAAAATAAAATGAAATGAGTACGCGAGTCAGATACACAGGCATTTTCACTACAGCAAGGTTAACTTTCCCTTATTATAGTTGCAAAGATCTGCGTCTGTTACCGCAAAATGTGGGGAGTTACAGGCTAGTTTGAATAGAAGTCTGTGAATGTTCCTCATGTGTCCTGTTGAATTATTTCAGAAAGCTATTAGGCTGTAACTCAATTGAGACAATAATGCTTTCCGTGACCCTTCAGATTTCTCAGTCACCATATTTATCATTTTTTTTGTGGTAACCCATGTTGTCATTGTCTCCCACAAACTAATTAGTTTGTCTATTCTTATTCTTGACTCTGTTGCTTTTTTAACATCTGGTGCTAACAAGATTCCCTGTCACAGTTTCAGGGGAATATTGGGACGTATATTTCCTGGAAAACTTCCATGAGCTCAGAAGTCTCTGGACTAAGATTTCTGTGTTGGAAACATTTCTTATGTACTAAATAGTGACAGCCCTGTAAAGTCAAGTGACCCTCGACTAGACTGTTCCACACATTTATGCAAGTTAAGTTGGAGTTTTTATGTTGACTTTGGCACTGTTCTCACGTGTTGAGGATCTACCACTTCACACTGTGGGGATTGTGTATGCTGTTGGGGTGGGTGTCACATAATTGACAGCATAATTCGTCAGACTACACATGCAAAAAAGCCAAGAAAGAGGTTTAGTGGTTTTAATAGAGATTTTCCTCTCAGTTTTCAGTATGTAGGAATGGAAAATGCACTCCATTTTCAGTCACTTGTAGCCTTCTGTTTCATTGAGAATGAGGCCTTTGGTACTGGTAAAACTTAAAAGCTTCATTATTAACACAGGGTAAGCTAGACATTGGTGCCTTTATGTGTTAACAACCATGAGCTGCTTTCCCATGGTTTCACTCTTGGTGCTGAACAAATAGTTTAATAGGTGAATAAAACAGATCATTGGTGTGAAGGGCCCATGTGATTGACTGAACCAAGCTCATACCAGGTTTTTAAATGATAGCACTGTAGGATGGTGGGCCACACAATGCCCTTAGGCTCTTCATAAAAGACACTATAGAGTGAACTATGCCCTTGCTGCCATTCAGTTTCTTCTGATAAAACAGTCAGCCACGTTTAGTTGTTTACCAATGTCCTCCTAGCTTCTTATGCAGTGAGCTTGTAGGACAGAGTGGAGAAATCTATTTTTGGTAAATAGATCAGCTATCCTTTTGAAGTAAGTCTGTCTTCAAAAGCTAGTAGTATCTTTTCAGTTCTCTTCCCCTTACCTGAGTCTCACAATCTACCCCATGGAAAGTGTTGTAAAGTCTGGAATTCAGAATGTTGTGAGTATATTAACGTGGCTCTTTTCAAAAGCAAAGCAAAGCAAAGCTTGCTGCTTATATACCGCCCCATAGGTGGTTTATGAGTTAATTATGCAGGCTACACATTGCCCCCTCCCCAGCAAGCTGGGTACTCATTTTACCGACCTCGGAAGGATAGAAGGCTGAGTCAACCTTGAGCCGGCTACCTGGGATTGAACCCCAGGTTGTGAGCACAGTTTTGGCTGCAGTGCAGTGGTTTAAATCACTGTGCCACGAGGCTCAAGGCAGTGCAGCCTTCTTTTAAAAAGAAAACATGGATAATCTTCTGCTATATGTTTCTTTTCAAAAGTTAGTTTGTGATAAAGGAAGTAACTATATGAGGATGACCTAGCTGGATAGCTCAGTAGTTTAGGTGTCTGGCTGCGGAGCCAGAGGTTAGGAGTTTGATTCCCACTGGGCCTCCTAGGGAAAGAACCAGACTATGTCCCTTGGCAAGCTGCAGAGTTCCAGGGTACTCCCAGAAGATGGAAATGGTAAACGGGTTCTGAGCTCCAGAAAACCCTGAAAAGGTTGCTGTAAGTCAGAATTGACTTGATGGCACAGTATTATGAGGAAGCATATTGGTTCTGTCCTTCAGTACTGTGGGTGAAAATTGATAACATTTTCAGAAGGCTCTCATTTCTTGGTGGACAGAGAGGAGAGTATCGGTTCTCTAGTTTGCAGTTACTACAAAGGGTGCCTTTAAATGCTTGTATTATTGTATGGAGTTTCAGCATAGTTTGTAGGTTATTAAAGTATCGTCTGTGTGTGTTTGTGTGTGTGTGTGTGTGTGTGTGTGTGTGTGTGTGTGTGTGTGTGTGTGTGTACACAGTATTTACTGTTTTTAGCTTTTAAATATTTTCTTTTAATTATGTAAGCCACTTTGGGTCCTTTTAAGGAGAAAGGTGTGGGAAAATATTTGAAATAAAATAAATAAGAAATAAATATGAGAGCAAGCAAGCGAACAAGTGATAAACAGTGAGCAAACTGACAGTAGATAATCTTAGCCGACTGTAGAATGTATTGGTATATCAAGATTCATCATAAAGAGGTGCAAATGAAGGGTTCAAGATGTGGATCTCAAATAGATTTTGCAAGGTTATCACCAGGTGATAGTGAAATGTGATCGACCCAAGAGTATCACACCAACTCTCTTAAGCATGATCCTATTGAAAGTGCTTCTCTTCATTCCTTAAGAATATGGTGGACAAATTTCAACATAATAACTATTACTTCAGCATTACAGGTTACAGCATTACATTGTAACCAAAGCCAGGTGTGAAAAAAATGGAGAAATTACACTTCAGATTAAGGACAAGGTGCCTGTAAGAACACATTTAGCTTCATGATTTATGTTCACTTCTGACACCATGCTTACAGCCTTTTCATACACAAAACTGCTTGGGGCTTTTCTTAAGCCTTCTTTGTTTTGCCATTTCATTTGGAAACTTATCATGGGTAGACGATGGTGTTGCTGTTAAATAGTTAGGGATAAAAAATAGTTTTGAACATAAGAAGAGTTAGGGATAAAAAATAGTTTTGAACATAAGAGTCTGCTGGATCATGCCAAGGTCCCATCTAGTCCAGCTTCCTATATGTCACAGTGGTCCCCACCAGATGCCTGTGGAAGCACATGAGACAACTAGATATCTGTTTCCTGGTACCCCTCCCCTGCATCAGGCATTTAGCGGTACCTTCGTTTTAAGCCTGGAGATTATACACCCCCATCATGGCTTGTAACCTGCAATGGACTTTTCCTCCAGGAATATGCCCAATCTCCTTTTAAAGGCATCTAGGACAGATGCCATCACCACTTCCTGTGGCAAGGAGTTCCACTAACACGTGGGTAAAGAAATATTTTCTCTTGTCTGTTCTCACTCTCCCAACACTCAATTGGAGTGGATGTCCCCTAGTTCTGATATTATTATGTGAGAGGGAAAAGAGTTTTCCTCTATCCATTTTATCCATTCCCTGAACATTTTATACATCTCAATCATGTCCCCGCTCAGGCACCTTTTCTCTAGATTAAAAAGACCCAAATGCTATAGCCTTTCCTCATAAAGGAAGTGCCCCAGCGCAGTAATCATTTTAGTCGCTCTCTTCTGCACCTTTTCCAGTTCCACTATGTCTTTTTTGAGGTGCGGTGACCAGAACCGTACACAACACTCCAGTTACGGCCTTACTAGCGTTTTGTACAATGACATCACAATGTTGGCTGTTTTATTTTCAGTCCCCTTTGTAATGATACCGAGCATGGAATTGACCTTCTTTACTGCCGCCGCACACTGGATTGACACTTTCATCAAGCTGTCCACCAAGATCTCTTTTCTGATCCTTCACGGACAGCTCAGAACCCATAATTGACAAATAGTTTTGTGTTTTTTTTCCTCAGTGTTCATTACTTTACATTTTCTTATATTGAAACACATTTGCCATTTTGCCGCCCATTGTCCCAGATTGGAGAGATCCTCCTGGAGCTCTTCACAATCTCTTCTGGTCTTCACCACCCAGAAAAGTTTTCTGTCATCTGCAAACTTGACTACTCACTGCTTATCCCTGTCCCCGGGTCATTTATGAACAGGTTGAAAAGCATTGGTCCCAGGACACATCCCTGGGGCACACACTGCTTTCTGCCTCTCCCCATTGTGAAAATTGCCCATTGATACCTACTCTTTATTTCCTGGTGCTCAACCAATTCTCAGTCCATAAGAGGACTTGTCCTCTTATCCCTTGACTGTGGAGTTTTCTCAGCAGCCTTTGGTGAGGGACCAAACAAAACACCTTCTGAAAATCCAGATAGACAATATCCACTGGTTCGCCCACATCCCTGTTTGGATTTACTGCAGTTCACTCAGCAGTCTTAACAGTAAAAGAACATGCACCTTTTCACCCCTGCTGCATAACAGGAGAGTTTCCAGCTTTTGTATGTTTCTTTTTTCCATCATCTGATTTTAGCAAACATCTATAGAATGGTATTAGCTGGCTGGGGAGTTCGATTAGACAATATCCACTGGTTCGCCCACATCCCTGTTTGGATTTACTGCAGTTCACTCAGCAGTCTTAACAGTAAAAGAACATGCACCTTTTCACCCCTGCTGCATAACAGGAGAGTTTCCAGCTTTTGTATGTTTCTTTTTTCCATCATCTGATTTTAGCAAACATCTATAGAATGGTATTAGCTGGCTGGGGAGTTCGATTCACCACTGTGCCTCCGGGGAGTAGAGTCAGCCTGTGTGGCTTTGGGCAAGCTGCACAGTCCCAGGGGGACCTCAGAAGAAGGGAATGGTAAACCACTTTTGTGTACTCTCCACCTAGAAAACTCTGAAAAGAGTCACCATAACTCAGAATTGACTTGATGGTGTATTGTTATTATTATTATTATCTATAGAATGATAGTGAAGGGGAAGGAAGTGGCAGGAGATAAATCAAAGGCATAGCAAAAACTTGTTCTGGCCTACAGAATGACTTAGATTAAGAATGTTTGTGGGAACTTCTGTGCTGCCTTGATGCAAAGTGAAACGTATGCAACCAGGTTAGAGTCCCATTCTGTGTTTATGCATATCTATCTCTGTTTTTTGCATGGTGGAATAAAAATTCTGGTGTGGAAATAGCTGGGAAAAATATTGAAACACTGGTCTGTTGCGTGAGCCCTTGGACTACATCTTTTTTCCTTTATGTGCTAGAAGAAAAGATTTTTCACTTGTACGTGCATATACCCCTGATCCTTGCCAACATGGCATTGAGTAGGGGCCCAGTGTGACCTTTCCTACGTCTCAAACCTTATGTCCTCTTTGTGTGGATTTTTAACAGGACAGAAAGACTGAAAGTTCAAAGAAAGCCCATCCCAAGGTATTTACTGTGTAGCAGACGCTTTGTCTCAGCATTCCTCTGCTCTGCTTTCCTGTTCCAGCACTCCTCGTCTCTAGTCTTGCTCTTTTCACTCTCACTGCACGGCAGCGTGTGGCCTCCTAACTCTGGCACTTGCATGTTAGTTGTAGACATCACTGTCCCAATGGGGTGGATGGGTGTATCAGGTTACATTGCACTGATTTAGGTGTATTGAAGGTTGGGACAGTGACTTCTGTTGTAGTGCTAACACTTTTTTAAAAAGCATTTCTCGTGTTTATTTGAAGTGTAAATGAGATTTTTTAATATACAAAGGCTTATAAAAAGGTGTGTCTGAGGCAGTCTGGGTCTGCAAATACTTGTATCCCATAGGAGATAGCTATAGCTGGACTTACCAGCTGGGGATCTGAAACAGACTTGAATAAAAGCTCAGCATGTTCACACTGAATGGCTTGACACAGTTTTCAGGATTTCTTTGTGCTTGGACCCTCTTTTTCAGTTGAAACACCCTTTGAATATTTGTGAACGTCAGTCTTATATCCCCTCCCCACCCCCACTAATTGAGGCATTATAAAGATAGCACATCCTGGTTGAAAGAGGTGGGTCTAGGCTCAGTTATTGACATTTTCCCATCATTAGCTAGCAAAGCCTAACCAGATCACAATTATTGTTAGCAGTACTTCCTTTTGTAATAAAGTTGTATGGAAATACAGTTCTAAAACTATTAGCTTTGCTTTTGACTAACACCTAATTAGTAATCTGTTAATAGTTTGTTACAGTTGTTAGCTTTCACATATGATATATTTCCCGAAATTTACCTCTGTGCTTGATACTTAGATATAGTATGACAGTAATCTCTTGTAGTTTTTGTGTTTCACCTGGATGATAGAATTTCTTATAAATAGATGGCTTTTTAAAAAATGAGTGGTGTATGTTAGTGACAAATCATGGCATCTAGTTGATGTAAACACCTATGATGCAGAATGCTAGAAACTTTGGCAGATCGTGTGTAAATGTAGAACTCTGATAAATTTCCAATTCTTTGAATCCATGGCCAAAATAAGAATAAAGGAATAATAATAAAAGTCAAGGTTTGCAAATCTATAGGCAGGGTTTGCATAGCATGGCGTACCCTATGAGGTTGCAGTAAGAGTAATAGAAGTGACTGTTGAAACATTCTTATGCCATGGTACTAGGACTTATGGTTTATCATTGTTGCCATGGAAAGATAATAATTTGCAGATCTTTCCTGTGATTTGCCATGTGTCCAAATTTATGAACAGTTGTTGCAGCCAGAGGGAATGAGGAAGGAGATGCATAAGCCTGTTGAGCACAGCTATATTCTGCTTGTAGTGCCTGAACTAGATCAGGGAGTGGTATGCCCAGAAATATGCCCTCTTTTTGGCTTGGGGACAGTGCTAGTGGTGGCTGATAAATCTCTCAGATCTATACCTCTTTCTGTTCTTTTTCACCCATGGCTGTAGTCTCCCAGCCCTTAAACACGTATGTGTATGAAATGTGCTCATCTAGTTATGCTTATCCTCTGTTTCACATGCTTTTGGTATTTTTTTTCCAATAAAATGATGGGTTTCTCAGGCAGTCTTCACCCCATTGTCTCCTATACTGTAAACTAAGATTAAATATAGAATGGGGAATTAATTCATTTCTGCAATGGTAGAATCATCTTAGTTACCTAGTATGTGTAGTGGAGAGAGCGATGGACTGGGTCTTAGGAGATCTGGGTTCAAATACTTGTATGGCTATGGAAACTCACTGGGTAAAACCATTCCTTAAATATTTTACTTACTTTGAAAGACCCTATTAGCATCACTATAAGTTGAATGTGTCTTGATGGCACATCAGAAAGAATCGTCTTGGATTAATTCTTCTCCTCCTCCCTCCCGGATGTCTCGAACATCACAGTGGACAGGCAAATGGGGTACAGGTTGATCTGTAGGTGTGCAGTTATACTCAGGTCAGGAGGAAGCCATGGTTCCACAGAGACAATATTCATATGACTGTCAAGAGGTAACCAAAAGGACTTCAACCAGTGCTTGGGGGCAGGGGAGATAGGTCTAACAAAAATCCAAAGAGAAGATTGCACACAGCAATGGGCCAGGATTGAAAATGTTGTTACCATTTATACACTGGCCTTCTTATTCAAGAAAGGGAGACACCTGAATTCCCAGGAATTCAGTAAATAGTGGGGTCCTACAACAGGACAAATATTCAAGGCCAAAGCAGACTGTGCATCTAGCGCCTCAGGTACTCAGATGGATCTGCCAGCTCTTCAGGAACAAAAATGTGATCAGTGCCTTGATGATGAACCAGACTCCTCAAGTTGCATCAGAATGGGTTTCACTTGCAGTGTCCCTTATAAAGATAACAGCTGTTGAACCAGGACCTAGACCAGAAGAGGCAACACATTTTTGGCAGAGTGTGCATAAAGTGTGTGAGTGTGGCCAACTTGTTGCTGTTGAAGTTGAATGCGGAACACAGGGGTCTCTATTATGCAATTGAAAACTGCCCCCAGTTGCACAGATCTGTGAGGTCAGTACTGTATTAATTGAACTTCAGGAGAATAAGCTGCAGAACGAGTGTCAGCCTTGTATTTTGTTGTGGACCTGCAGTTCTTGTTTGAAGGTTAATTCAGAGTCACCCCAGTGTGACTCCTGAGAATTGTGTCTCGAGGAAATTGAGTCACATTATGAAGTAGCCTCTCCAGTCTTCAGCCTATGCCAAACTGGAAGGTGAGTTTTCTTTTCTAATATGCTTCCATTGATTGACTGCACATATGTGTGCTTTCCATGTATCAAGTGGTTAACAGTGGATGGACCTCTTCTAGAGCACTCTTCCAGTACTCTTTTCCTGTGTATTGAGGCATAGACACCCACTGACATGCTTTCATTTTCATGTACGCTACTGCTCTAATTAAAAAAAACCACAAATATTTCATTGCTCAGTAATGCCTTTACCATGGTGAAACAGGAAAACACTCCTATCTTAATTGCAGAATCACCACCCTGTGCAAACTTTTTAGCCACTGGAAAAAAATATCCATTTTCTCTGTGTCCACTGTCTCCCTAGTACTGTACTCTTTAACTTTGTCTGGGGAAAATGGTGTTTGTGTTTTTCAGTTTCAAAGTAGCAGTGGCCCATTTGCTTGGTTCTCCAAAATAGTCCATTCCTTTGATGTTCTGGTGTGGCAAAATGGAAGGGTGCTCTGCTTGAAAGATAATACGAAGCAACCAACATTAGAAATGGGAGATAAGGGAAGACGTGTGTAAATGCAGTAGAGGAAGGAATGTGAGTGGAGGAACTGCCAGAACACAGGCCATGCAAGGGCCACTGAGAAACAAAATTGCCTCTGGTTTTCTGGGTCTATAAAAGAGCAAAGGAAGGGGACAATCTGTACATGGCGCAGTGAAATTCAGAATTCCATAAAGTGATATTCAAGATTTGTATCTTTAAACAAGTTGCAAAAACAACTACTGAAGTCATGAAGGAGTCTGTTGAAGTAGTATGCTTAAGTACGAGTAGTATGTCCTCCAAGCAGGAATTTGACTATAGCCTTTGAGTGATAGACATAAGATCTTGCTTGGACTGCAGAAAAGTCTACCTTTCACACTAAGGCAGTGTGGCACACTCTTCTACCCTAAGTATGTGTCTATCCTTTACTGTATGTAGCAGTAACTGCTATGAGTTTCATATAATACTGGACTTCAAGCCCAGTATCAGTCATCTTTAAGTTCAGAATTCATCACTTGCAATTGCTTGTTGCCATCCCAGAAAGTGTGCAAGGTTTTGCCTGCAAGCTGCATGTTCCCCTTGCAAGCAACCTAAGCTCTGTGATTTGCACAATTGCATCCCACTGTTTCTGTGCAAAGCAGCTCACTCACTGTCTATGGAGTGGTCTGATGGGGTAGTATGTCAGACAGCCTGAAAACCTAGCCATGTAATCTTATTTTGTGTTCTTTGTTTCACTGCATTTCTTTCTGTGGGTAGTCTTCTAAGTTATACTCCCTAGCTTTGTGGTAAAAAGGGTTTTAACAAAATAAAACATGTTCAGTACTTGTTTATAGGCTTCACTAAATATTATATGACATACTGGTGCTGTGCCAGTTTAGATTTCTAATTCTTCATTACTGTACTACTTGGACAGGAGAGAGTTATTTGATGGTAGGACAATATATTGTAACTTTACAGTTAGTAAGATTTTGGAGGTGGGGAAGACATACAGTACTGTATAAGTACATGGCTACTCTTCAAAGAGGTCTTTTTATGACTTGCTTTCCTTTGGCATGGAAGGTTCAGCTGTGCAAATAGATACGAGAATCCTACAAAGATTACATGAGGATATCCTGTTCCTGGTAGCACAAGCACTGTTGTTCCTTGCACAAACTATTGCCATGAATGTCTTGACAATGTGCAAAAAAAGAGTATGTTTGTTAAACAATTAAAGAGGCCTATGAGCCCAAAGCACTTACCCATGTAGGAGGGTTTTTATTGCATCTTTGCATAAGTTATTGCTCTAGCCTTGCCTTTTTTCTGATGGAAGCAAATTCTGCTGCTGTTCTATGTTGATACATTTACATGATCCATTTTCACTCAATGCTAAGAGAATTAGCTGCCCTTAGATGATGTTGTGTGTTGCATCACAAGCAAGTCCAAGCATATGATTTAAAAAAAAAAACACAAACAAATGTAACATTCACACAATTAGGATTATAGTAATTTACTCTATAAGAAATGCCATAGAAAGCACAAGATATTATATCGTCTACATTTGATACTTGCTAACCTTAACAGGTAAAGTTTATTTATCCAAAAAAGTGCACACTGTTTAAGTGAGTTCAAATGCATGTCATCTTGTTTGCATGTTTTGGAAACATTTAATTCTTTGTGGCTCTTTTTGACTGCCTAGTGGGAGGGTCCTAATATTTCCTGGATGGTTGTTTATGTGCCATTTGTTTACAGGATGTATGCTGAACATTTAAAATAAAGTGGTGTGGGTGATTCGGGTCTCAGAAGAGGTAGCTGAAGTGGCAGGAAGACCTTTTATCAAATGTATAAGGCCATTTATTGAAATCTGTTGACGTTCTTTATCAGAGAGAAGGAAATGTATAATCCCACTACAGCCAGGAAGGAGGGAAAGTACTGTGAGAAGTGAGAGAAGGAACAGTGACGTAACGGTTGTGCAATTTTTCTGTCGTCTTTTTCTTTAAATATTGTGTGAATTTCTTCAGATTCCTTGGGATCCAGAAGTTGATGTTTGGTGGCATGATGTTATGAAAAATGCTAGCAAGGAGTGTGAGCCTGCCTGGTGTGATGCAGAAGATGAACTGTTCATTCTCTACACAAGTGGGTCAACTGGGAAACCCAAGGTATGTTGCTTTGTTCTGCAAGTTGCTGGTTATTAGTGCTTACTGTCAAATTGTAGTTCTTTATTAGCCCACTCTCCTGCTTGTACAGTGTGGTTCTTACTACTTATGATTTCACAGTATTGTTTGTGAGGGAGTGATGTTAGAATCAGAAGGAAGATGCTCCTTATTCTGAAATCTAATACCTTTGGTCAATGCTGCTGTTTGTTGGAGAAACAATATTAATGTATTCTTGTTCTCGCCTTCTTTTAAAGAAACAGCTCTTTATGGATCATTTGTGTTCTGTGTTTCAGGGTGTTGTTCATACAGTAGGTGGATACATGATTTTCACAGCCATAACCTTTAAATATGTCTTTGATTACCACCCTGAGGACATTTACTGGTGCACAGCTGACATTGGATGGATAACTGGCCATTCCTACCTCACATATGGACCTTTAGCAAATGGAGCAACCAGTGTCTTAGTAAGTTGTGAGATAAGCTGTGGCTTTTCTGAAAAGTTCTAGCTAGATGTCAATATAGACCTTCAAGTGCTACGTCTGCACACCTTGAAGATTTGGGGGGGAAAACAATAACTGTGTGACAAGCAGTGTCCTTACCAGGAACAAGAGAACAGTCAAACTGTTGGATGGCTGAAAATAGATGGTAGTTCCTTAAAGCTCACTTTCCATTAAGATCCAGTGCTCATTAGAGCAATGATCTAAAGGTTGCTATGTTGGCTATAAAATAAAGTTGAAAATTAGGCCAGCCAAAAGGCACAAAGGATCACCGATATGTTCCTCAAGCAAGATGTTACAAAAATAAACAAGGAGGGGGAAAGAGAGTGAAGGTTTTGCATTAAAGACCATGCAGTCTGCACAATGTGTTGAGATGTATTGGAGAAGAAAGACTATGCAGACAATCAAGTGGGACTTATGAAATAATGTTGTTGTTTAGTCGTTAAGTCATGTCTGACTCTTCATATACATTCAAATAATGTAGTGATGTTATATTTCAAACAGAGTACCCCCCCAGAGACTTGGTAGAAATTGGAAAGTTAGAAAAAATTGGTCTTACATTTGATTTGATAAGCTTAAGAGAGAGTGCCATGATCTGTGTTTTACTTTTTGCCATATTTATGGTAGAAGGCATGTGCTGAGCATGGGGCTGCAGGAGTGTTGTGGAGCTGCAGAAGTATTATTCTAGGGCTGTAAAAAATTGTGCGCCATGCTGGATGCAGCCATAGAAGTTTTCCATTGTAACGTCTGTTTTCTGCTCAGTTTGAAGGGCTTCCCATCTACCCTGATGTTAGCCGTATGTGGAGCATCATTGACAAATACAAGGTGACCAAGTTCTATACTGCACCCACGGCCATTCGCCTCCTCATGAAGTACGGAGCTGAACCTGTCAAGAAGTAAGCATGAGTGCTTGAGAAATGCAAATACATGATCACGAGGGCAAAGGGCTTAGCTATTTCCTCAGAAGCTTTTGGTCTAAGTGATGTAACTTGCCTTTGGTCTAAATGATGTAAAGTCAGGGAGAGGGGAAAGGGAACAAAACTTGGCTGCAACTTTGTACTCATTTTGAGCCCTAATGACTGCTGAAGAATGTCTGTTTGAATCCCATCCAAACGACTGTGCTTGCAATTGCTTGCTATTGACAGTGGTGTTTTAGGAAGAGCTTGGAAAGGTCTTTTGAACTCCAGAAACCCAAATCCTACAGCCAGCATACTTGGGAGTGGTTGAATGTTGTCATCCCAAAAAAAGCTAACTTTCCAGGGCATAGTTTAGGGAGGGACCCTAGCTCAGTGGAAGAGTGTATGCTTTGAGTGTTGAAGGTTTCACATTTGATTTCCAGCATCCAGGGAGCTGGAGAGCTGCTGACATTTTGATTTTTGCTGGTCAGTAGTCTCAGTGTAAGGCAGTGCACGTAACATTATTCTCCTTAAATTCCCTTTTGACTACATAGTGTGCTTCTTATGGCAGGTACAGCAGGAAGTCCCTCAAGATCCTAGGAACAGTTGGGGAGCCCATAAACCCTGAAGCTTGGCTATGGTACTATAGAGTGGTCGGTGAAGAACGGTGTCCTATAGTGGATACTTTTTGGCAGACAGAGACAGTGAGTCCTTTGCAACTTGGCTCCCTTTGTACCTTAAGAAAGAGCTGGGCTTGTGTATGTGTTTTGGGGTCCCTACTTCATAAGCACTGGATTGTGAGCTTTTACTTGCAAGCTTGCTGTACCCTGTTTTACAATGCAATTGCTGTTGCTCGTTGAGGCATGGGGTCCCCCAGTGTGTCTCAGAACTGCTTGTATCCTCGCTGTTCCTCCTCTTGTCTTTTGCAATGTGGTGCTAGCAGAGGCAGTCCAATAACCTGGCTTATTCTATTTTCCATCTTTCCTTACCTTCTCAGCCTTCTTTCTCCACCTTGCTTGGTTGTACTGGGCAATGTCATATTCTGCTTCATTGCCTTTGTTTCTCCAATCCTTAGGATCTAACTCTTGCATAATTCAGCTTTTGAAACATGTAGGTGGGTCGTTTTCAGTGGAAGAGTTTAATACTTGCATCCTTGTGTTTTGTTTTGTCTTGCAGGGTGGCCACGTGTTGACACCACTCCCTTGTGCTACACCAGTGAAGCCAGGCTCAGCTGTAAGTTTAGGTGCTGCTTGTTTCTCTCTCTTTGCCGGGCAGTGCATTGCCCTTCTGATGCATCTGTGACTCTATAACTGATCATAGCATGTTCTGAGGCAATAAGGTCAAGGAGGATGAGGGCTGAAGTTCAAGAGAATCAGAAGGGCCACTAGGAAAGCTGTTATAAGTCAACATCAATGGAAGGCAATTGTTTCTAAATGAAGGGAGCTTTCTATTCTGGAAACTAACCTGAATGTTGACCAGAAACACTGGATATATTAAACCTATAGAAGCTTCTAAAATGCATTCTTGGGCAACTGCCCTTCATAAGAACCTGGAAATTACTTCAAATGTTGGGTTGAAGCTCTCTTTTCATGTCCAGCTGCCATTTGTCAGCTTTTCTGGGATTTAGTTTATTCTTTTCAGTTTTCTCAAAATTGTCCTATGACTTTTTCTTGGCAGACATTTCCTTTCTTTGGGGTGGTGCCTGCAGTGCTAGATGAGTCTGGAGAAGAGTTGGAAGGAGAAGCAGAAGGCTACTTGGTAAGAAAAGGCTAGGTTTATTGCTGACTAAACCCAGCAAATGTTTGGGGTATCGTGCTCCACCTATAATAATACCTATTTTGTACAAATGTATGAATTATCTCTTGTTTAACTGTCTCACTGTGCAGCAAGCTGCCCCTTGGAACTTGTTTATACTTCAGTGAGTAAACTGGAGGATGAGAGAAATCTATGTTTAGCTTTGACTTTGAAAAACAACAAAACTTAGTATTAGATATTAGAAGATGGTTTTGACTGGAGTAGTAATTCTGGCTGGATAGCCCAGTGGTTAGAGGCTCAAGCTGGCTGGATAGCTCAGTGGTTTGGATATCTGGCTGTAAAGCCTGTGGTTGATCCCCCCCCCCAATGGGCCTTCTGTGAGAAGAGCCAGCCTATGTGGCCTTAGGCAAGCTGCACAGTTACAGGACGCCCCCAGAAGAGTGGAATGGTAAACTACTTCTGTGTACTCTCTACCTGGAAAACACTGAAAAGGGTTGCCATAAGTCAGAATTGAATTGATGGCACATTATTACATGTTGGTGATTCCAGAAACTAGGTATTTATCCTTCCTTGTTTTCCTAATTGAAACTGGCTTTGCCCTATCCATCACTCTTGTTGGAGGGGAGGACAGGTGGGATATAGGTACCTGTATTTTTCCTAGGACTGGGATAATGTCTGCTGAACTTAAGAACCAATTAGAAGGGGAGGATTTTATTTGAAAATAACGTGCAAAGGGAAGAGATGGCTCCATCTCCGTCCGACAGACTCTGAGCCCTAAGATGCAGCTGCTGTTTGAAAAAAAAAAGACATTTGAAGATTTTGTTACGGATTTTTCGTAATCGCAGCTGCCTTGGCTCCCTTCAGCACTGTGATGTGGGCTCTGAACAGATCTAATTTCTCATACGAAAGGGGTACGATTTGGACTATTTGAGCCGAACAGTTTTCGTACGGAGATGGATTTTCAAGTCATCTTTTAAGGCCAAGAATAATAGGGTATACCTGTAATAAGGGCCACTGCATATAATAAAGTCCTAGTGATTGCAGACTGTTGGAAGAGTGGGCAGTGAGTGTGACAGGGTTGCTTGGGTAGTCTCCAGCTTGGCTGTCACATTTCAGTTTATGAAAGATGATGCCATCTTGGCTGTTTCATAGTTATGCTGCAGAGGGAAAAGTAAGAGGCATATTGTATCACTGAGTTATTCAAAGCTTGAGGTTCCAGTATCATGAGACAGAATTGTCTTCCATACTTACATGATACAGGTTTCAAAAAAAAAATAAAAAAATAAAGAAAAAGAAAAGAAAAAGAAAGAAAGAAAGAAAGAAAGAAAGAAAGAAAGAAAGAAAATATTATGTTAAATTCTCCCCTGCAAATCGAGATTTGATTCAGCACATTTGTTTTACTTATATTTAGTAAGGGAAAAAAAACTCCTGACAAAATATGCCATGTTACTAATTAGTATTATAACTCTGTAAATTTATGAAAATAAAAAAAAGAAACATTCTGTCATGGGTATAAAAATACAACGAGAAAGGACTTTATACCCAGCATCTGGAACACGGAAAATGGTTGTCTTGAGCTCCTGGAATTACTGTAGATCTGTGCTGTGACACTATTGCCCAAATACTTTGTTTATATGGAGATTATTTGTGTCCCAACTTTCCTCCAAGGAACTCACAGTGATCCCATCTTATAGTTTCAGTGACCCAGACAGTTTGTTTCAGTCCAGTGAAGCTTCAGATTTGAATTTGGGCCTTCTTGACTCCAGTGTATCAGTCTTTTTACTATAATACTGGTGATTTGTGTGGAGGTCTGAGAAAGAGTAATGCAGAAGCTGCACATAGCCAAAACATAGCTGCATTGTTTGGAGGTATAAATAATGGAAAATGTTCAAAACTTGGCATGTTCTCCATCTTCACATCTAATATAGTGTCACCACCCTTTTCATTTAGGTTTTTAAGCAACCCTGGCCAGGAATAATGCGCACCGTATACAAAAACCACCAGCGGTTTGAGACCACTTACTTCAAGAAATTCCCCGGTTACTATGTGACAGGAGATGGTAAGGCTCCATACAGCATCTTGGATCTCAGGATTATTATCATCTTCAGAACTTGTTTCTTGATAATCTGTATGTGCTCAAACATAACAGCCACCAGAAGCCGAACACACTTGTCATGTTTTGATCCATTTCCAGATCTTACACCTAGTTTCTCTTTCTAATGTGGATTTACACCTGTTTTTACATGTGTATTAGCTACCTTGATAGATTTTTGATTTTGTGGAGATTTATTTTGCAGCTGTGGAATTGTGACCAAGTTTGGGGGCAGGAAGCAAACTTGAGGTGGCCCGCAAAGTTTAAGCTGCCCTCCTCCTTTTGATCTCTCTGTAACCTGAGCACTGCCAGGTATTTAGTTGAATAGATAAAGGTAAAGGTTCCCCTTGACAATTTGTCCAGTCGTGTCCAACTCTAGGGGGCAGTGCTCATCCCCGTTTCCAAGCTGCAGAGCCAGCATTTGTCCAAAGACAGTTTCCGTGGTCAAGTGGCCAGCGCAACTAGACACGGAACACCATTACCTTCCCACCGTGGTGGTACCTATTTATCTACTTGCATTTGCATGCTTTCCAACTGCTAGATTGGCAGGAGCTGGGACAAGTGATGGGAGCTCACTCGGTCGTGTGGATTCGATCTTACAACTGCTGTTTTTTCGACCTTGCAGCACAGAGCCTGCGATTTAATCCGCAGCGCTACCATGTCCCTATTTGGTTGAATACTGGAGTTCAAACCTAAAATGCAGTCTCTGAAGCGGGCTGCTTCATCTATGGATCTTCTTTGTATCCAGAATTGGGGGCATGGATGAAGCACTGCAGAAAGGCTTCCAGAAGTTCTTGGGTGCCTCTGTTTTTATAAAATCACTACTAATTTCTGTAACACTTTCTTTTTAATGGGTTGTGTTGGCCTTATTTTAATATTGTGGTCTGTCTGTCTGTCTCTCTCTCTCTCTCTCTGTGTGTTTCTGTGTGATAATTGTTTTCTTTATGCTTCTGTTTTTGTTGGGAACTGCCCAGAGTAGTGGTATGCCACTAGATGCTGCAACATAGAAAACAAACAAATTATTTTCAGCTGCTTTATTTTTCATGTGTAGTGCAATATGAACAAATGTCAGAGTCTGCACCCAAACATCCTTCTTAACAGCAATTTTGGTAGAATTTCAAAACTCAAATAACCCTTTTTAAAGTAGTTTACTTATATTGGTCAATGTGTTGTTTTTTCCAGGTTGCAAGAGAGATAAAGATGGTTATTATTGGATCACAGGTCGAATTGATGACATGTTGAATGTTTCTGGTAAGAGCAAAAACTTTGTGGAAGACTGGAAGTTGCCAAAGAATACAAGTAGGATTGGTCTTTCTTATGAAATCTTCTTCCTTCATAGTGTTTGAAGCCTCATCCAGCCAGTATTGGGGAATATAAATTAAGAAAAATGGAACACATTCAGTAACAACATTTATTAGCTCACTAATAAATATAGTTGAGCTTCTGGAGGGTTAGCGCATGTTTAAATAACAACTGTTTTAAGATTCCATTAAGAAAGTAATGAAGTTGCTGAAATTAGTTTCTCTAGCTTATAGTTAGACATTTTTAATTTGTAAAATGGCAAATTATTAATGCTTATAATTATGGGTTTTTGTAGCCAGGCAGCAGATGGCCTTGCTGTTAAAATATCTGCTGAAGGATGGCTTTGCTAATTTCAGAGAAATCCCAGCTTCTTTTCCCCATTGCTTTTTGGATCCATCTTATGTTATAAGAGGAAGAACATTCCTTGGTCTGTAGTTTAGTATTTAATGTGAGAAACACACACCCAGCTGTTAACTATGAAAACCAGTAGCCCAAAATTCTGTGAATGTATCAGTTACTACATGGAGATCAATTTGTTTTGTTTTTCATTCTATCTGTCTGAGAAACTGTGTGCTTGTGTATGCATTTTATCATCGCATGGGAAGTAATATTTGGATTTCCTGGGCTGCTACAGAGTTTCTTGTCTTAAAAGGATAGAGGGAGAAGAGTCAGGGCAGGCAGGTCATGATTCAGTATGACTCCTCAACCAGACTTAGACAAACAATTTCCTTTTTTTAAAGCTACTGGTTGGAATCATCTTGCTGTTCATTTAAGGGTTGCATAACTCCTTGTGGCTAACTGTAGCTGAAGCCCTGGGCACATCTTGGTTGCACACTTGGGCAGATGAGCAGATACATGATTAAGACATGTTCCATAAACTCATCAATTAGCTGCAGCTAGCCATAGCAAATTATCAAAAAAAATATGAATGGTAGATGTGTTTTTTTTCAGGCTGTTTGGCCGTGTTCTGAAGGTTGTTCTTCCTGACGTTTCACCAGTCTCTGTGGCTGTCCTCTTCAGAGGACAGGAGTAGGAACTCTGTCCGTGCTCTGTTACAGTTTGTTGGATAGTTCCCACAGTATTTATAGCTGTGGGAACAGCTTTTGTCCTTTTCAGGAGACTGGGATTGATGTTCTTTTGGCAGTACAATCAAAGAAATTAGTGAGAACCTTGTTACCATCCTCCAGAATTATCACAGCAGATGTGGCTATTATAAACCCCAACCTCTTTCTTTGGACTTGACAGTCCCTTGTTTCTTATGTATTCCTCATCAAGCATGAAGATGCAAGGGTGACAAGGCTGGTGTTTGTTTTTATGTTTACAGGGCATTTGCTGAGCACAGCAGAGGTTGAATCAGCTCTTGTGGAGCACTCGGCTGTCTCAGAAGCGGCAGTAGTAAGCCACCCACACCCAGTGAAGGGAGAGTGCCTCTACTGTTTTGTGACCCTGAGGGATGGTCATGATTTCACAAATAATTTGGTTAATGAATTGAAGAAACAAGGTAACCATGTCTTGTGGCTTGAATGTATTGAAAAGGGTAAGGGGATTTTTTTAAAAGAATGCATTGAAGGAAGGAAGGAAGAGTGGTTGTCTTCTACTTGTTTATAGACTGTTCAGACAAGTATTATTTCTCAATTGAGCAAAATATTATTCTTCATTTTAGCCAGCTGTTATTTAGTCCAAGAGCTGACACTTTCTAGAGGCACTACCTCATCCTTCACAGACTTTAAAGGTCTACCCTCCCCTGCAATACTTCCCTGTTTTTTAATTTTTTTAAATTTCAAGAGCCCTTTGCACCCTCTCAGGGGCTTGGGGGCACTTTAGGCCCTCATAGCCTGTTTGAGGGCTTTTTTTCTAAACTGGAAATAGTGTTTTTACTTCAAAAATGGGGTGGGCATGGGGCTTGGCTTGGGGGTACTGGGGACCTATACGTGGCCGGGGAGGGGGGAGACAGAAGCAGCCCACAGGCCACATTTTGCCTAGTCTGACTAGCACTGTTTTTTCCAGGGTCTTGATCCCTTACTACCTGAACATGCCAGGAATTGAGCCTGACACCTTTTACTTGTGAAGGAGTACTCTACCACCAAACCATGTTCTTCGCATTGCACATACCAGCCTGTAGAACAAATGGAAGTTCTGCCTTGGCTGAAATGGTTTTGCTCCCCATGCATTTGGTCTTTTGTGACCACCTTGGAATTAAGTGCTGCCTAACAATTTGCTTTAACCTTCAGATTGGCTGATGGCAGTCTTCATAGGGGTTACTGCTCATTTCTGCCAGAAGCTAAATTTAGCTCTGCTGGCCTTGTTGCCTCCCTCGTGGTGCTTTTCCTGCCAGCTGGCACTCAGTTTGATTACAAGAAGGCAGGCTGCACATCCCATGGACAGTGCGTGGGTTCTGCAAAGGTGATGTGTGCGCAGCAGCCTTCCATCTCTGATTGACAAAGTGGAGAAGGATGGGTAGGCATGGCTGGCCTGCCTTCAAAATTCTTTGTCTCTAGTATGGCAGTGCTTATCTGGCTTAGAAAAAGCTTGATGAGCCAAGTGAGCAGAGGAAGCCATTCTTAGGTTTGTTTGCTTGTTTTTTTAAACTATTAGAATAGGGTTTTTTGTGCTGCTCTTGTGTTCCATTTCCTTTCTTAAGTCAGATTTTAGTATCAAATTTAATTGTTTGTAACTGCATAGAGAAGGATTTACCACTCTTCCTGCTCAATTTTGTAAAAATGTTCCTTGTCCCATGAATTGTGCAGGTTTAGTGCAACTAAAGTCATTACTCTCTTATTTGCAGTTAGAGAAAAGATTGGGCCTATTGCAACTCCAGATTACATTCAGAATGCTCCTGGCCTTCCCAAGACCCGCTCAGGTATAGTTTAGATTTTAACATATTTCCTGATTCCATAAGTAACCCTTATCCTATAATAAATTTGTTTCTAGCACTTAGAAGTTCCATTCTCTGCTAGAAGCAGGTGGTATGAGAATTTGGGCAGCTAATAAATGCATCACTGGTTGAAACACAGTCCCTGCTTCCTTGGAGTTATGGAGGACAGTAGTTGAGCATGTTGACCTGCTCTTACTATAGGTTTGGTGAGGTTTACTGAACATGGGAGAGTGTTTTTCATTAAAAGCTTCTAGTGTGGCCACAATGCTTCTATGCTAGATCAAAGGATTGTACATATATCCTGTGCAGGACAAGGTAGAATACTGTTGCAAAATGTTTACTCTAAAATAGTGATAACATGTATAGTATACTATGCTTGAAGGACAGACAAGCAAGCAAGAATTTGTTTTAAGGTTAGCATATATCCCTTATCTTGTCAATTTCTTTTGTGAGCAGTAGTGAATAATACTGAATTAGTTGTGTTCTAAATCTTCCCTAACTGCTTGAAATATTCTTCATAATTTCTTTCATAACAGAGGTACAGGTTGATGTTACACTTCCATTTATTTGCAGGTAAAATTATGCGGCGGATATTAAGAAAGATTGCCAAAAATGACAGGGAACTGGGAGATACCTCAACTGTTGCAGATCCAGCAGTAATAAACCACCTTTTCAGCAACAGATGTGAGACAGTTCTGTAGGGAGGCTTTCCTAAGAAAACAGTACTGCAGGAATTTGATGAGAATATGGCCCCATCCAGACTGTGACACTTTTGTTTCTTGAGAGAAGAACCATCCCATGGTGAGCTGAATGTAAAATTCTGTAAATGAAGAGAGGAAACTGGTGCTCCAAGATCCAGTCCTTTTTTGTTGTAGGTCTAGCTGTCTGTGCCTCTGGAGAATTGTGTGCATTATGTTGTAGACCAATACTGCATATTTCAAAATTCCAGCCTCACCTATTTCATACAAGATGAAGACATTTTAATTTTCCATGAGCATGTTTCATGAATTTTCTGTATTTTTTACTTTTAATACATTGTGGTGGGTACATTGCAGAATGTGCAGATAAGGATGTAAAAAGTGGTTCTGCTCCTGAACTGTAATTACGAACCTTCAAAAGATTTGGAGAATCAACAAACTAAGCAGTAATCCTCATGTTGAGGCAGAATTCTTGGAACAAACCTTTTGTTATTCATCAATTTTATTTTGAAAACTCTGCATTGTATTTTAGAACTATATAACATGGGAAATGGAAAGTTTTTAGGAAAACTGTCAAGGATGAAGTTCTTCTAAAATTACTTTTTCCATGCTAGCACCACTAATGTTTATATCGGTAATAATTATTTAGTGACAGTAATTTTCTTTAAAAAGGGAATAATGCTATCCACATTTCAGGTTTATTATGCATGTGTGTCTTTGAATGTACATGTATGTACACCACTGAGATTTTCCCATGCATTGTACTCTGGAGGTGGATGCAAAATTCAAAGTATTGTAGTTACGAAAGACTGTGGTCAGTGCATGGATACTCCGTGGGATGGGAGATTCTTGAATTTTGCTGTGGTGGTTCAGTGCAATACTGTTAAGTTAACTTTAGGAAAGTGGAGGTCTGTTCATTTGCCTTGATAGTTGAGAACTGAGTATGATAGATACCAAAGGAGAAGTGACATCTGGCAGTTAAGTTACTTGAGTCTTCATGTGACCATCTGTGTCTGATGATCTCATAAAAGAAAAAGGTACATGAATATAGGTATAATTCCCACTCATGTTTTCAGTAGATGAAAAAGTATGGCCACAATTGTGGAAATAATTTCCGTGTGTGATATATTGCTTTCTCCATGTAATCATGGGCATATGTGTGACCAAAAATAAGCTCCTGCTCTTGTGGAAGTAATGTGAATGGCCAGCAGACTACTTCAGAGAGTCCTTTGTCACAGTTAGCTGAAAATATTCACTAACAGTTACAGTCCAGTAAATTCATTGTAAAGATTGATAAAACTAGACTCTTCTAGTGTTCATCATTGAGTCAGCAAAGCAAAAGTAAAAAATTCAAAGATATAATGATGGGGAACGTGGGTCCTGTAACTAAAATAATGTAAACGACAGGAACAGGCTGCTTGTTTCAATAATGTTTGTCAAGATATGCAATTCCAGCACATACTTCAGTGTTCCTGACCCAGAAATGCCTTTCCTGTGTGATTAATTTATATTAGAAGCTGCTTTTTAATTTCATTTTCACTACCAGCATTTAAAAATTAGTATTTAATTTTGGTATTGGTGGGTCACGTTGTGGTATCCCAAGATGTCTGCTTTGCTCCTTGTATTTGTTTGGAAATTGGGAATGCCTAAAACAGTGTCCCCCAAAACCCTATCCTTGATGAATAATACTAACATTTCTCTGACCTTATCTCATGGTTATACATTTCTCATTTCTTACTTGCTAGTAGCATTATAAAATCACTTGTGTGTGGTCTGCAACATTGGTGTATATTTAATCTATTGTCCTACAGCGTTTAAGGTAGGCCAGTGGCTTGCAATCTGCTGTCAATAGGAAATCCTTTTACTTTTTATCTTGGTCTGATAAATCTTGTTTCTGAAATGGCTGGAATTCTGATTTAAATTGGAACAAATCAAAGAAATAAAACCTATAAACCAATTAACTGTTGACTCTTGACTTTTTTAAATTTTCCTCTACACCTCATTTAGAAATTACAGGCCAGGATTCTAGGTACTTTGGACTGTATACTGTGGCATTTGTCATTTTTGTTGCCTTTGTTATTGCTTCACATTTAAACATGTGCCAATGTAACATATATTGATATGATTTTCCTTTAACAAGAAACATACAGGGCTTTTACTCAAGTACAGTGGACCCTTGACTTACAGACGGCTTGACTTGCAGACTTTTTGAGTTACAGACTTTTCTGGCCGCAAAATTTAGGTTTGACTTGCAGCCTGAGAATTGACTTACAGACCAGAAAAAAACCAAAATGGAACAAAAACGGCCTGTTACGGGATTAATCGGTTTTCAGTGCACTGTAGGTCAATGGAGACTTGACCTACAGACTTTTTGACCTGCAGCCACCACTCCAATACGAATTAATTCCGTAAGTCAAGGGTCCACTGTATGAGACAACTAATAGTGCTTACTAGCTAGCTATAGTAATACATTCTTAGGTGGACAGTTTTCTTTTGTCCACCAAGCTATGTTAAATTTTGGTTCATGCACTTCTGTTTGTTTCAAGTCAAATGTACAGTGGTGAAATCTGCATTTAACATGTAATAATGCTAAAGGAAATTTGTTGATTTGGTCAGTATATTAGTATGGTAAGAATCTTAATGGATTCCTAGATCTGTCAGTGTAGGTTTGTAGTTCACATTTTTTCATGCACATTATCAATTTTTTGCTCTGGAACTTGAAGTCCATTTCTTATAAGTTAGTTGCAGCCATCTGCTGGACATATATATCTGGGAGTAAATTAATTGCTGTGTGGTGCTGCAAAATGGTCTCTGTTGGTTACATGCTTGATATTCCACAAGTCTTGCGAGTGTCATGAGCTGTATCTATACAGTTTTAGAAATTCTTAGACTGTATGTGGTTTTTTTAAAAGTCTAGAAACAACGATCTTGCAATTGTCCAGGCAAAGGGGACATAAGACAAGAGTACCCAGGCAGAAGAAAGGGAGAATTATCAGTTAAAAACAAAGAAAGTACATATACTGTATATCAAGGCATTTTATTTAGAAAACCCACTTAGGCAATGGAAAAAAGATACTCTGGAATATCATTTTGGTCCCCAATACTGTACTTTCTATTACATTTCTAAGCATTTCCTGAAAAGTATCTGTATGCCATAAGATTTCATTTTTATTAAAAAGGCCACAATGAAAATATAGAGGAGACTAATCCCAATGTTTGGGGGGGGGGAAAGAAAAAAAACAGTATATAACTGTAATCTTTTAAAGCAATGTAATTTAAACATGGGTAGTTAGAGGGTGACCATATTACCAAAAACTGAGGAAAATATTGAGTTTGGGGTGGGCCGATTCACATTTTTTCTCATTTATCAGTTGATGGAATGGGAAATACACACAGTACCCAGCAAAGTTTCTCTCTTAAAATGCTTCTTTCTCCTCTTCTTTTTAAACGCTTCTCCTCCTGGGCAACACTGCTGTTATTTTTTTTTATTTTTTTTAATGGTTTAACAAGGCAAGACCCATGTTGGAATTTGACAATTAAGACAGGAAAAAGCCCCTGTTTCATTGCTTATTAATGTAGTTCTTTGAACAGCACCACCTGCAAGAAGAACTGTAAGAACTGCAAGTAGTTCAATTTCAGTGTGACCACTTAAATCAAACAGAACCAAATTTCCAGGTGAGTATATTCTGTCTTCTGTTCAGAAGCATGAATCTATGAAATTCATAATCTTTTGGTTTAATATATTTGAAATTAACTGACTAAATTTGGCTTTTTTCCTCAAAAGAGTATCTGCTTGCCTATTGAGTATGTATGCTCTTCAAACATAGACATTTCAGCTTCTGCACATACTACATAGCACTTCAATTTTCCCCCCAAAAAGGATGAAGCTGTTCACATTAGTCTACACAGCAGGATCGCTTCAAACAGCAGAGTAGTTTTTAACCTTATGCTAAAGGTGAGAGACTTACACTTTCAGATATTATAAGGAAGTGTGTATTTTTTTAATTGCTCAAATTTGTTCCCCAAAAGTTCACATATCTATTTTTAATGTAATTATGGTGTACAAGCTGCTTCTGTATTTTATAGGCTGGTTCGGTCAGCATTATTGAAGATACAAATAAAAACAAAGGTTATCTTCTGTGTTTTTAATTCACTTATCTATTGTGTTCCTTTGTCATTTGCTAGTGTCCGTTCATCATATGTCAATGGCCAAGAGCTTCCTGAAAAATGTACCCTACATACACAGTTACTCCATGGTTATGTGTCCCTCTAGTAAAGAATGTTTAACACAAAAGGACGTGTTGCAAAGCACGAAACCCCAAGAAGAGTTCTTTCACTCCTCTAGAGCAGGATGGAAATACACCTTGAAAATACAGATGTTGCCTAGTAATTTTCTGCTACCAGGCACCTGCAGGTGCATCTGATTACCTGGTGCAGTATTATGGTAGGAAACAACCACTGAGAGCATTAGTAAGTTGCTAATTGGAACAATATAGTAACAGAGTAATAGATCCCATTAGATACATTTTTCATTAGGTCCTTTGAGGAGGAGGTTGTCTTTGAAAGTTAGTTAGATAGAACGCATTATTCACTGAGACCAGGAAATAGCAATTACTTCAAAAAATCAGAGCAAGTTTGCTTTTTTGTATCTTGGGGTCACATATATAAGGAGGATCTTCAGTATGAATCTGATTATCAAGTCTGCCATTTGGCAATTATGCCCTAAAAGGAGGGAAAACCCACCTTACACTAAATACAGTGGAGATGTCAGCAATGAGGTATTTGGTTTTCATATCACATAGGGATTATCCAGAACAGCTACTCCAGCTGCTACTCCACCATCTGCATGTTCTACAGCCTTTGTTCGCAAGAGATGGCCAACATGCCTGTTCACTACAAGATCCTGACCCTGTCTGTAAGGGAAGAATCAAAATTAGTATCCAACCTGCAACTATCTGTACATTTTAATCATATAGCAAAATGGTTTGATTTATGCTTTGCAGTTTCACCGGAAAGCAAAAACTACAATGGCCAGAATCCTGCTTGTAATTTACACATGCATTACTTAAATTGTGTAACTAGTCACAGTAGGCTGCTGCTAACAAACAAGGCATCTGTTGCATCGATAGGTACATGCCTGTTGTCCGGTAGCGCACATGCCTTGTAAAGCTACCAGCATCTTGTTAGTTAGCAGCAGTTTGATTCAGTAATGCAATTTGACAAGTATATGCAACTTACCAGCAGGTTGCTGGCCAATGAAGTCTCCTTTGCATGGTAGTTTTTTCTGGTTGACGTAAACAGCTCACCAACTATACAGTATATGTACACTGACCAACTAAACAGGCATGTGATGATCCTAGCTCTTCACAGTTCTTACGGCATTATTGATAAAACAAAACCATTTGTTTCAGCTAGAACAAATGGAGAAAGGATGTAATCTTTACTCATTCAGAAACTAGTTTAATTATCTAATTCTGCATTGTTTGTAGTAAACTTGTACTTTCCCAAGCTTTAAGACAGATTTTTCCAAACTTATCTCGAGATTCCAGTGATTGAATATGGGGTGCTCTTTGTACAAAGCATGTGATTTATAACTAAACTATGTCTCTTCCCTAGTGCCTTCACAGATGTTAGCTGTGGTTTAGCTCTGTGGTAATGCTGTAAATAAAGTTGGATCTAGTCATTTTCTCAAAATGGGGGGCATCCCTCTTCCCTTGGAAGTTGTTGCTGTTGAACTGGGATACATAAGTGACTTGCAGCCCCTGATGTCACTTCACATGATGATCCATGTGGGGGGATCTATTTACTTTTGGGGGAATCTATTTACAGGGCACAGCGGACTGCAGAAGGAAGCAGGTCTAAAAGTTCCGCTGGATCACGGATGGAGAAAAACTGACCATGGGAAAATTGCTGAACCCAGCCCAAAATCTGTACAGGATTTACCCTAACTGCTAGCAGCATAAAGGTACACTTAGAAAAACTATAGGAGAGTAGGAATGTTAAATATGACAACAAAATGTAAGGCCAGTAGATAAGGTAAGTTTCTCACCTGACATAGACACCAAAGATTCCTAATTCAGACACACATTCTGACATTTTCAGTGGACTATGAGCCCTCAGTAAATAATTCAGAGAAGGAAGGGGCTTTATCTTGTCCATTAGAATATAGGAGGTCCTCTCAGGACTGTCTTTAATTTTCTCCAAAACCTGCTTGAGCTCATCACCATAGAGATTGTTCCCTGACAACACAGAATCCATTAAAATAAATTCAGCTGAAATGAAGCTGCTAGTAAATGAGGTTGCATGTTAAGACCTGAAGCCAACCCAGGAAGCACAGGACATGAACAGGGAGAAACAGCTACTCACCCCTGGGAACACTAAGAGGTCAGCATGCCTCTCACTCTTGATACAGAGGCCATTTCCCTATGGAAGTGGCCTCAATTTATCAATTTTATCCCACACTGAGTTTTTGCTACCATGTATCAATCAATCTTCCTGTTCAGTCTTAGCCTACTGTAAGAACGGGCACCATTCTGCAGCATGTAAATAGACAGAACTGTTTTAGTAGACACTTGTGGTAAGTCTATACAGTAGTAAATATCTGTTCACAATATATCTTCCTAACTTAAATTCACATATAAAGATTAGCTCGGATTTTTGTTTGTTTGTTTGCCTGGGCAGATAAAATGAGCAGTTAAGACACTCTTAGTTCTTGTCCAACACTATTCTATACAAGCACATTAAGACATAAAAGGATGTGGAAAAGGGGACACTGGTTTATTTCTGTAAAGGTTCATTCTGGTCTGCAGAGGAATAGGGAATCCAGGAATGGGTTAATCCCTTTCTTGGCTGAATCCAGGCAGGAGGAGTGAACTTAGAAGAGTTTAACAGTGATGCTCTGCAAGTTCCTCGCAGTTTTTCTTCCCCAGCCTAGCCAGAGAAATGATGAGCCTGCATGCTTTTTGCTTTGTTCTCATTGCATTTCTGATCTGCTCTGTTTGTTTTTGCAATAGTTCTTGCATGCTTCCCTTGCTTTTTTTGCTTTGCATTTCTGATCTGCTCCGTTTGTTTTTGCAATGGTTTATACATGCTGCACAGGCATCGGAAAATGGCCGCCCTATGGAGGATCTTCGCTGGACGCTGAGGTATTTCTCCCATTGGAACACATTGAACCGGTTTTCAATGCATTTCAATGGGCTTTTTAATTTCGCTTGACGAGGATTTCACTCTACAATGATTTCGCTGGGATGGAATATCCTTGTCAAGCAAGGCACCACTGTACTTATACTCTAAAATAAGAAATAAACAGAATAATCCATTGGGTGGGCACAGCTCAGATGTTGCTATGTTCTAGTCAACAGTCTCATGATATATAAAGAGAACAACCTACCTCCTCCCTCCCGTTGTGGCTTTAACACAAAACGATCTGGAGCAGCAATAGCCGTTGCAACCATCTTATCACCTTCTGCATCCTTCAGGAAAATGGGAAGAAAATAGTACACATATTTTTGGCATTCTAGATATACCACATTATCAGCTTTGGCTTCTAGCAATAATGTTTTACTAGGTAACAAATATAATTTCAGATAGAAATAAAATCACTTTATATAATGTGCTTCATTAAAAATCATTTTATAATGCATTTAAAATGGGGTCTTCTCTGAGAGTTGTTCTGTGCTACAAATTTATATACATAAAGTACAAAGTTAGATATTTCCCACAGTGCATTGGTACTTACCATTTCCAGAGAATAGAGACCAGCAAATGTTGCTCTCAATCGAGTCACCACTTCTGGTGTATTTGGCAGAAATCTTTCCAGTACTCCTGGTCGGCTCAGTTCCTGCTGGACTTTTTTGGTCCCAGCAAGTTGTGTGGCAATATCAGGACACTTAACTGCTCTAGACTTCTCCAGCAGTAATCGTGCCTCCCAGTTCTAAGATAAACACAGAAAGTTCATCTGAATCAAGGTTCCCTCATAATATACATAATCCTGAATTTTAGGTTAAAATTGTTGTACATTCTACTACTGCTGTTTGTAAGCCATAACCTAGCATTGGTTGACACTGGAATTGCCATCTTCACACAGGCTCCTCCTTGCAGTCAAAGCCTTCACAGGCCTCTCTCAAGGTGACCATCATCCCATGAAACGTTTCCAGCAGCACATCAGGGAGGCTGAAACTAAGTGAGCTGGCAACTTTCTTCAAGATCCATTGGAAGTGTGGAAACAGTATGCATGCTATATGAGTGCAGACATATGCCACTGCTGTCAAGATTAGGGCAGAAGGAAACACACCTAATGGTCTAGATATTTGCTAAAGCAGGGGTGGGTGACTTCAGAGGGGCCAGGGGCCATCCCCCCCCCCAGGACTGGCTGGCAACCTGAGGGCAGCACTCCAATGAAGAAGAGCCTATAAGGTGTGTGAGATCAAATAGACTCATTTGCATATTTTTAAAATTCTATATTTGTTTTTTGCAAATATATTCATCATTTTTCAGAGTGTTTGTTAATGGGAAAAAGGTTTAACTTTTAAAACACTTGAAAATGTCTCACTGGTATCAAAAAACTTATTTTTAATTTAAAATTTGGAGATGGTATAGGTTGCACAGTCCTATAGTGCCAGCAGGAGGGGCTGGAAAAGCACTTCTAAGTAATATATGCACAGGAACCCCTGGCAACAGTCCCCAAATGTTAAAGTTGATTTGACAGCATACAAATATACTAAAAGTGGGGAATAGTGCCCTCAAAATAGAATAAAATTACCCCATTCAGCCCTGGAGGACATAAGAAAACTTCTAATTATGAAATGGTAGACTGGCTACAATAAGCCTCAGGAAAAGATATCCAATTACTGACAATGTGCCATTAGAAATTCTGAATACAATGAAATTGAAGGATTTTCAGTGTGAAAATGTGAATAAACATGGATATGAACTATCTGTTTAAGAGACTTTAATTTATATAATTTTAAACTCTGTTTCTGTAGTTATTTTTTTCCTTACTACTTTACTGTATTTTCCTGCTTTACTGTATTTAACTCCAAATAATTTTACTGCTTTACTATATAACTCCAAAATTGCATTTGACAGTTTTCTATAAACTATACCCAGAATCTTGCTGTGGAGTTGCAATACAGCAGCACCAACCTGTTTGTTGTAATTCTTTGGCACATAACCTTCCCTGTAGTATACGACTGCAATTTCCTCTCCATCTCTAGAATAAAGAGCATAAACAATGGATTCTTTACTTCATTACTTTAGTCCCTGTTTCTCTCCCACACACAGCTGAACACCCAGCTTGACGCGTAATTAATTACAAAGTATTCTGTAGATATGAGCTTCTTTGTATTGTTTTTGAATGATTTGGGTACAACATTTGAGAAAACACATTTCAATGCTACTAGAGACTACAGTTTACAAAAAACCGAAGTTTTCTCAAATGCTACATGCAGCTGGGCAGAAATGATTACCTAGCAGAGCAACAGAGGTCATCAGACCAAGCCTCTGTGTTGATGATATAGACATATTTTTCTCAACTTTTAAAGTTTGAAAGTAATTTTTCATTACCTTAACAATAATCATGTGCCATCAAGTTAATTCTCACTTATGATGACCCTTTCCAGGATTTTCTAGGTAGATAATAGAAATGGTTTACCATTCCTTTCTTCTGAGGGCTCTCTGAGTCTATGCAGCTTGCCCAAGGCCACACAGGCTGGCTATATTCACAGGAGACACACTGAGGAATCATATTGCCAACTTTTGGCTCTGCTAACAATAATCATGTGCCATCAAGTTAATTCTCACTTATGATGACCCTTTCCAGGATTTTCTAGGTAGATAATAGAAATGGTTTACCATTCCTTTCTTCTGAGGGCTCTCTGAGTCTATGCAGCTTGCCCAAGGCCACACAGGCTGGCTATATTCACAGGAGACACACTGAGGAATCATATTGCCAACTTCTGGCTCTGCAGGCAAATACCCAAACCACTAAGCTATCTAGCCAGCTCTGTTATCTTAGTTCAATGCGTTTATGTAAAACTTGAAGTTTAACAAACTGCTTCACTGATAGCAGCAAATTTCAAATCATGAAGCACAGCTTAAATGTATGTTGTTTTATAAACAACAATCTTCATCAGAAATGCATTACATGTTCAACATTGCATATCCACCTGATATATTAAGGGATAAAAATGATCATGCTCAACCATCTGACACTGGAATTTGGTGCTATTCTGCCATTTGTATTATTTTAACACAAATACTAATACAGTGGTGCCTCGCTTAGCATTGCCTCGTTTAATGATGAATTCGCTTAGCGATGAGGTTTTTGGAGTGACTTTGAGTTCCGTTTAGCGATGTTCCCTATGGGGAAATTTCGCATCACGATGTTCGGGACCTTGCCTCGCTTAGCGATGACAGTTTAGGTCCCCTGTTTCACTTAGCGATGTTCTGTTTTTGCTATTTTTAAAGTGTCTTAAAACGTTCAAAAACTGTTTTAAATGCTTGGAATAGTTAGTGCACCTTGTAAAACCTTTGCAAACTTTATTTGGCTTTGTTCTGACTCTTCATTAATTTTTGGTGAATTTCCCCCCCCCCATTGAAATGCATTGAACTGTCAGTTTGACAGCATTTAAAACAGTTTTTGAACATTTTAAGACACTTTAAAAATAGCAAAAACGGACATTGCAAAACCATTGGAATGCATTGAATAGGCTTCAATGCATTCCAATGGGGGAAACATTGTTTCGCTTAGCAATGTTTCCTATGGCGATTTTCGCTTAAGGACGGTAATCCGTTCCCATTGGAACAGATTAACCAGTTTTCAATGCATTCCTATGGGAAATGGTGTTTCACTTAGCGATGTTTTCCCATAGCGATGTTTTTTTGGGAACCAATTAACATCGTTAAGCGAGGCACCACTGTACTATAAATAGCAGGTGTTTCAAACTACTTTTGCATCATATTGGATGTCCATCTATTAAATTGAGATGTACGTTGTTATTTATGAGCTGTCAAGTCACTTCCAATTTATGCGTTAGTGATCTGCTCATATTTTCTTATGAGAGTGGTTCTTAAGTCAAAATGTTCTTAACTCAAGCCGTTCTTAAGTCAAGACCCCACTGTACCTAAACCACTAAGCTATCTAGCCAGCTCAGTTATCTTAGTTCAATGAATTTATGTAAAACCGGAAGTTTAACAAACTGTTTTACTGATAGTAGCAAATATCAAATCATGAAGCACAGCTTAAATGTATCTTGTTTTATAAAAACAATCTTCATCAGAAATGCATTACATGTTCAACACTGCATATCCACCTGATATATTAATGGATACAAATGATCATGCTCAACCATCTGACACTGGAATTTGGTGCTATTCTGCCATTTGTATTATTTTAACACAAATACCAATACTATAAATAGCAGGTGTTTCAAACTACTTCGGCATCATATTGGCTGTCTATCTATTAAACTGAGATGTACGTTGTTATTTATGTGCTGTCAAGTCACTTCCAATTTATGTGTTAGTGATCTGCTTGTGTGTGAGGAATACTTACATATGCAATCTCTTATCATTATCCAGAGAGCCTTTTTCAAACACATCTTTAAATCTTCTTCGGATCACCCGGATATTCCTTTAAAGAAACAGACAATAAGGTTTTAATTAAAAAGAAATCAATGATTTTAAATAAAATTTGGACTATATGTAGGTCCTTGAAAACCAATTAGTAAATTCTGTCTGTTAAAAACACAGATAATTGTGTTGAAATGAACAATATGGTATACTGCCAGTCCTAGAAGACAAAATATGATTCCAATTTGTAGAGTGTCCAAAGGATGCTTGTTAAAGGCATTTCCATTGGCTTCCCTCACTCACAAAATCCAAATCAAATATAGATAGAGTAGAATTTTAGCTTAGGACAAAAAAGCAAGTAAGGGATGATGAGACAGACTTGCATAAAATTATGCACGGAATAGATAGGAAGATGTTTTTCATTACAGCTATAGAAATCAGGATTCTTGAATGAAGTTGAAGTGAGAAATATAGGAAAGATGAAAGAGGCCTTTTTCCAAACATATTTTTACCAACACATAAATCATATGATGTGCTACCACAGCAAGTAATAATGGACACCAACTTGGAGAACTTTAGATGGAAATTAGACAAATCACATAGGACGAAGCTTTCTTGATGGCTGCTTCCAGGTGGTGGAATCCTCTACCTTGGGAGGTTAGCTTAGCCCTTTCCATTTTATCCTTCTGTCAACAGTTAAAGATCTACTTCTTCAGGCAGTCTTTAAATAACTATGACTGAGTCCATAGATGCTGGCTTTTTATTTTCCTAGGTATGGTTTTTAAAGTTTTAAATAGTTTTAAATTAATTAATAGATTTTAAATTATATTACGTATTTAATTGGTTTTTTAGCCTGTAATTTACTGTGCTTTTAATTCACTTGTTTTAACATTGTGAGGTGCCTTGGGTCCCCACACAAGGGAAAAAGGTGGCCAACAAAAGATACAAATAAAATAAAATAAAAATTAATAATTACTAGTTACAATGAGTATATACGATATCCATTAGAGGACATATGTCTCTCAGTATCAGTTGCTGTAAAACTCTTATCAATCAATTAATGTCCTGCCTTTTTTCCCTTATAGGACCCAAAGTGGCTTTTATTCTGCGAGGCCCAAGGTTGGGGACCCCTGCATTAGAGGACATATGTGTCTCAGTATCAGTTGCTGGAGAACAAGAGTAGGCTGCTGCTGTAAAACTCTTATTAATCAATTAATGTCCTGCTTTTTTTCCCTTATAAGACCCAAAGTGGCTTTTATTCTACTGATGGGCTTCCCATAAGCATCTGATTGGCCACTCTAGGAAAAGAATGCTGATAAATGCTTTGGTCTGATTCACGAAGCCTCTTACTAATGTTATGTCTCATTGGCAGAAATCTGGTTTCACAGCTACATTTGCAGAAAGACATCATTGGTAGTGGCAGATTGCCACTGATTAAATGCTACATTTTGCAATTTCAGAGTACATGTGACTTCACTGCATTATGGAAAAAACCACAAAAGGCAGGCTTAAATCAGCAGCAATCTGCTGCTGCCAAGGATATCATTCCCAATGTGCAGGGCGGACTGTGCAACAGGATTTCAGCCTGTCTACTCAGAAGGATGTCTTACTAAATTCAGTGCAACTTATTTTCAGGAAAATGTGTATAGGATTATATGCGCAGGGAGGACTGTGCAACAGGATTTCAGCCTATGTCTACTCAGAAGGATGTCCTACTAAATTCAGTGCAACTTATTCTCAGGAAAATGTGTATAGGATTAGGACCATAAGCATTTTTAAGTAATCTTAATTTCATTTAACAGGGTTAAGGGCTACATTGTGCCATCAACATTTTGCCCAGAATGATGGCAAAGAGTCTTGCATGCTGCACTTTAAAGTCCTGGCAGATTTACCTTTGGAGCAGCCAAAAGATATATAAACATGTATACCAGATAGGTTTTCAGATGGCTTATATGATATTGAGCAAAAACACCTCATTCTGTTATGTGAAACAATTACCTCATCCAAAGTTCATTTTCTACATAACGCTGGTCAAAAATATTTCTCTGAGCTTCTTCAACCAGGAACATTACCACTGCTCTGAAACAAAATAAATGTACAGTATTAACAAAGATGCATCAGTTGTTGCCTTCTGATTTTAAATACAGTTTAATCCTTATTACAGTGGTGCCTCGCTTAGCGATCGCTCCTTTGAGCAACGAAATTGCTTAGTGACTAACTTTTTGCGATCGTAATAGTGATCGCTTTGCGATGGTCCCTATGGGGTTTTTTCGCTTTGTGATGATCGAGGGGAAGCTATCATGGCAAAGCGACCCTTTTTTAACAGCTGATCAGCTTTTTCAAAATGGCCACCAGGAAAACAAAATGGCTCGCCACTGTTTTTCCTCGTTTAAGAGGCAGTGAAAATGGCGGCGCTATGGAGGATTTTCGCTTTAAGGTGAGTTTTTAAGCCTATAGGAACGCATTAATCGCGTTTTTATGTGTTTCTATGGGCTTTTTAATTTCGCTTAGCAATGTTATCGCTTAGCAATGTTTTTCCGGAACGGATTAACATCGCTAAGCGAGGCACCACTGTACTTGCTTATCTTGGAAACATCCAGACCATTGCACAGCTAAAAGTGTCTGCCATTTATTACTTCCTTGTAGGTTCATACAGAGCACAAGCAAAATAAATAAATAAATAAAATGCTTCCTCTTACATTCTTGCTCTTCTACTGTCCCTCAAGCAGGGATGCATACAATATAATCCCCAATATACTGTTGTACTGTACTATTACTTCTGTGGTCTCTCATTATTAGCTATATCAGTTAGAGTTGATGGGAGTTGTAGTCCAACAACATCTAGAGGGCTACATTTGCCCATCCTTGATATGTAGAATAGCTGAATGAACCCCCCCCCCAAAAAAAAAACACTGGAAGCTTGAGATTGGATTATAGGACATTTGGGACATTAAGAGTTTTACATGCCTTGGAATAAGATTATACTGTATCTGCAAAAACTGTTTTTCCAGAAAAGAGAGCCATTTGTAGGGTATTTTAGGAATGACTAAAGTAGGCTACACCTATGATCAGGAAGAGAGATCATGAACTGTCCTATCTGGGATTGTGATGGTGTATACTGTAGATCATGTCAGTAGGCTACACCTATGATCAGGAAGAGAGATCATGAACAGTCCTATCTGTGATTGTGATGGTGTATAGATCATGTTAGCCTGCCTCTAGCACCTGCAATAAAAGGGGACACATTTGTGTTTTGTGACTACATCTCCCAACATTTCTCAAACAACACAGCTGAAATACAAAAATACAAATCTGTATACCACTAGTCTGCACATAAAGAACACCTATGATCAGGAAGAGAGATCATGAACAGTCCTATCTGTGATTGTGATGGTGTATAGATCATGTTAGCCTGCCTCTAGCACCTGCAATAAAAGGGGACACATTTGTGTTTTGTGACTACATCTCCCAACATTTCTCAAACAACACAGCTGAAATACAAAAATACAAATCTGTATACCACTAGTCTGCACATAAAGAACATATATCAGCTATGGAGACACCTGCCATATGTATAGTAAAAAAAAACCCCTTGTTTCTTTGCACTGCTCTCATAGTCTGCTGTTACTTCTACTTTGAAGCCATTTTAGGTTTTTTATTGCTTTATTATACTCTTATTTTATGGCTTCAAACTGTATTTTATAAATATCCAAATACAGTGGTGCCTCGCAAGACGAAAATAATTCATTCTGCGAGGTGAGTTGCCCCGCAAGACGAAAATAATTCATTCTGCAAGACCTGCCGTCTTGCGAGGTGAGTTTTTCCATAGGGATGCATTGAAATTTAATTAATGCGTTCCTATGTGAATTGTTTTTAAAAAAATCACTTACCAGGTAGGGAGCTGGGGAGGCACCATCAGAGGACTGGGCGGTTCCCCTGCAACCGCGCTCACTGCTTTCAGAGGTCCCCCGCCAGTCTTCCGATGGTGCTTCCCCAGCTCCCTATCTGGTGACTTTAAAAAGAAATTCCCATGGGAATGCATTAATTAAATTTCAGTGCATTCCTATGGAAAAACGTACCTCGCAAGACAAAAATATCTTCGTCTTGCGGGGCACCAAAAAACTCGCAAGACACTTTCGTCTTGTGAGTTTTTCATTGCCCAAGGCAGTCGTCTTGTGAGGTACTACTGTAGCTTTGACTATTCAGTGTCACAGAGATGTAACAAAGTAAGTGGCAGCTTCTGCACCACAGGCCTCACCACTACTAGAGAATTACTTTTATGAAGTTCAATATTCTAAATTCTTCATCTTCAAATTTCTGTAGATATACTTTTCCCCAACTTAATTTGATTGACAAATTGGTATCTTCTGCTCCTTTCTATATTTTAAAAGACTTGGACAATAACCCATTTTTCTGTACAGTGAGGGCTTGTGATCAGGGTTGGGTGGGGCACCCTCCCAAAATATTGGGTGAGGATCCCCACCCCCAGTCCATAAGCTGCCCATGCCTCATATAAATTGTATACAGTAACATATAGAATACAGAAAAACCAAAATGAAGACAAAATGCAATGGAAAAGGAAATGCAATAAAAATAAAATAATTACATTCTTTTTTGTCATACATTTTGCAGATCTTCCTTAAAGTTCCTATTAGATGTACACCCTGAAAAATCTTTTTTCTTCAAAATAAACCTTATGCACAGCTGTGTAAGTCTTACTGCAGGCTCTCTCCTTACCTGTCTGAACCATAGAGTTCCCAAGCTTTTGCAATGCCTATGGCAATTCCTTTGGATGGATTATTGATCAATAATTTTGAGGCTTCCTTGGATTTCCCCAAAACATTCAATACATGCCTGTGATTGGGATTTATAGAGAGAGGTCACAAAGCAATTCAAAAATATACAACTGCCAATGAAAAGCCATGATTGAGGCTGAAGAATCAACTGATTTTTAATGCAAAATAACATGCCAGTCATTCTTGATGAATTGTGCAAATGTTCCAATGGCTTTTGCTTAGGAAATTAATGCAGGCATGAAAGAACTACTATTCTCATGTATTTTGTAGTCAAGCCAGTCAACCTTATAGCTATATGCTATTAATAAAGGTCTCTATAAATTTTCAATTTCATTTGACAAAGTTTTCTGTTCTGTAATATACAATAGCAATCCAAGAGGAACGATGGGGTTATGCATCCTGTGCAAAAGCACTGCAAAAATGCAAAAAAAAGAAAAAAAGAAAAAAGAAAAAAAGAACAATTGCGGCAAAATTCAGTATTTTGAGAGAGGTTATTATCATTTTTGTTGACACTGAAAAAAGAAAAAAAGAAAAAAAGAAAAATTGGAGCAAAACTGAGTATTTTGAGAGAGGTTATCATCATTTTTGTTGACACTATACAAATAAAAGTACAATCCAGGTCCCTTCCAGCTCTGCACTTCTACTATGATTTCCTCCACTCCCATGCTGATTGGCTGAAGGAGCTGAGGTTAGTATATCTGTGCATCCCAGCTAGCACAGAAAAGCTCTGCTGAAGTAAGGCCATCTACTTTTATTTGGATATTCTAAAACTACTCCTGGAAGTTCTGCAATTTAGCAGTAGAAGACAGAAAGCTGCAAACTTGGGAATTGCATAGGTGGGAATAGTTGATTTTAGAGGTGTTGGATGCAAAACCACATTTCCTGATATTGGTCTGATCTGGGATTGCAGCCAATCCAGCCCTCTCATGCTAGCAGAAATAGTGGAGACTGCCAATTCACTAATCCACCAGGCTAAATAGCCTAGCAAAGCTAGTCCATCAACACCACTACCACACCGTGCATACTGGACAGCAGGAGATAGCACGACCATAGATCCAACTTCTTGCTCTCCATTATACCCATTCACTTTGTCTATCCACAGAAGGCTTGAACATGTCTGAGTATTACCAGGCAATGTTTCAAAAACGAAATGAATACAGTTTCCACAATTATGGCATCTTTCAAAGCTTTTTGCCCCATCTGATGACATCATTTATACTCTATTCTGACCAACACAAGGATGGCAACTTCTCTAAGTCTGGAAGCCACTCCCACAAATATTTTCTTATTTTTAAAAATTATTAAAAATAATTCCCGTCAATTTCTATTTGCCACAGGAAACAATTCATGAGTATTTTGGCTGCTTCAGTGTTATTCTAATTTGGTCTGATTTTGAAAAAGTGCTCACTGCCTAAAATAGCTCACTATGGTAGAAGTAACCCACACCACCTTGATGGGACTTCCAAAGCAGACTACAAAATACCAATTAACGTGGGGTGTGGGTGGTGCTGGGGAGCAAGCATTCTGCAGGGGCAATGCTTGGGCCTTTGGGGACTGTACCTGGCTTATACACCACACTTTGTCCATCCAGAGGATATAGAGGGTCAAATTATACAGTGCATAATGAGAAAAACATATTCCTTAAGATCTAAAAGTATTTGTTAACAGGGGTTTTTCACACCAGTCAGCTAGCAAGTTATCTTTGTCTTCTGGACAGAAATAGGCTTCATTTGCAACTCCTCAAACATGAAGGTCTGCTGAAATTGCATTTGTGAAGCACTAATGTGGTTTCAGCTAGAGTTACGGTACATGCTATATGTAACATATAGGCCAGTAGTGTTTTTGATATTTACATACACAGAATGTCAGTTGTGGAAGTTGCATCAGCAATCTGATATGGTCCCAGTCACACGTGGTTGCATGTCTAATTGAGTGAACCAATTATATGCTAGGCACACAATCAAGAGAGTTGTAGGCACGTAAATACTGAGTTTATAACCAGCCACTGTATTACTCTGATGTGCACAACTGTCTGAGCAAACCATAAACTATTTTTCTTGAACACACATACACACATGTATATATAAACAACCTGCCAATTTAGTGGCAGCCTTTACCGATGCACTGCTGTGGTTCGAGATGTGAGGCCTCCAAAGCTGGCAGCAATTGTGTTGATTTCTATTTGCTTTAGAGCTGGAGAGTCACCTGCACTGTAGTCAAACATGTAGTCAGAACGATTGATTCCTAAAAACACTGACTAAATAAAACAGAAAGATAGCATGAGGTATAGGAGCCGTATTTCCAAGCAGTGTACATTGCTAGATATCACATAAATCCATTTGAATGAACATGTAACCACATGATGAACTCCCTCATGTAGACTGTAACCCACAAAAGCTCATATTGATATGAAAGGGCTTATGTGGGAGTTGGAAAAGCTGCAAAACAGAATCAGAAAAATTTTAATTCGTGAAAATTGCTCCCTGCCAATGATGTCATCACTCATCTGTAAACATAATACAATAGAATTCCAGACAATTATTCTTTCCCTGTTCAGTAAAAAGGGCTTTTCATACTATACCTGAGTTATTCCTTCTTTCAAAACCTGCTTGTAAATGTTAAAAAGCTGAGCCGTAAACTCATCCACTTTGACAGTACTAGAAATAACAGCAAAAAACAAATATCACATACAACATTCAGTTTTGCTATGACAAAACAAGACAGCTGCCAATATAATCGTTTTATTTAAAAGTACTTGGCATAATAATTCTTGCTGAATTTCAGTGATGTGGCCTCACTAATACAGTAATGGCAAATTTTTTATTTGCACACTGCAGCCCTGAACATATGTGACTTTGTTAAAAGCCAACCTTATACATGTTAGTGTGGGATGTGGTAGCACTGCGGGTTAAATCACAAAGCCTCTGGGCTGCAAGGTTAAAAGATCAGCAGTTCAAAACCACATGGTAGGGTGAGCTCCCGTCGCTTGTCCCAGCTCCTGCCAACCTAGCAGTTTGAAAGCATGTAAAAATGCAAGTAGATAAATAGGTACCACATCAGTGGGAAAGTAACGGTGTTCCGTGTTTAGTCACGCTGCCCACGTGATCACGGAAACTGTCTACGGACAAATGCTGGCTCTATGGCTTGGAAACGGGGATGAGAACTGCGCCCTAGAGTCAGACATGACTGGACATTCGTCAAGGGGAACCTTTACCTTTATACATGTTAAGTCCACATCTATTAATGTGGCAATAAGCCCCATGGAATGTATTTCTAAGTAGATGTGTAAAAGAATGCAATTGTTAATTTCTTTACTCCTCCTTAAGATATAAGGCCAAAGCAGCTTATTTAACTTTCAAAGTATGAGGAAAGTAACATTCAAAGAATCATAGAATAGTGGAGTCGTAAGGGGCCTGCCTACCATCCCCGGCTCAATGCTAGAATCCAAATCAAAGGAGACAGAGGACTCTCTAATTTTCTTTTGAATGCCTCCAGTCTTGGAGCGCTCACCACTTCTTGATGTAATTGATTCCACTGCTGTACTGTTCTAACCATTTGGAAGCTTTTCTTGATATTTGGCTGAAACCTGGCTTCAGGTAACATGAACCCATTACTACATGTCCTGCATTCTCAAGAACAGATCCTGCTCCTCCTCTGTATGATAATCTTTTAAGTATTTGAAGAGTGCTATCTTATTTCCAGTCTTCTTTTTTCAAGGCTAAATATGACCACATATTTTGGTCTTTCATCATAAGATTTGCTTTCCTGTCTCCTGACCAGCCTTGTTGCCTTCCTCTGAACTTGTTCCAGGTTGTCCTTCATAAAGTGCAGTGTTGTAGAACTGGACACAGTACACAAGATAAAGCCTTATCATTACCAAATAGAGAGGAACTAGTACTTTACAGAATGTAGACATTGCACTTCTATTAATGCAGCCCCAAAAAAGCAAATATCATTTGCCTTTTTTGTAACCACATTGAACTATTCAGCTTGTGATCTACAATTCCAAGATCCTTTTAGCTCACAGTACTACTTAGCAAAGTATCCCTCATCTTTTAACTGTGTGTTTGGTCTTTTTTCCTAGGTGTAGAATTTAAATTTCATTCTGTTGTTTTCAGCTCAGTGCTCAAGCCTATGAAGATGTTTTGAATTTTGTTTCTGTCTTCTCTAGGGTATTAGCTATTCCACTCAATTTTACGTCATCTGCAAATCTGATATTGTTTCTGTCTTCTCTAGGGTATTAGCTACTCCACTCAATTTTACGTCATCTGCAAATCAGATGAGCATCTCATGCACCCTCTCATCCAAGTCATCAATAAAAATGTTGAAAACCACCAGGCCAGGACTGAGGCTTGGGATGCTCCACTTGTTACCTCCTCCCAGTTTGAGAAGAAGCCACTGATAAGCACTAAGTCTGTTTCTGTAAGCAGCTGTATATTCACCTGACAGTTGTTCTATCCAGTCTACACCTAGTGACAGCGGTGCCTTGCATTACGACATTAATTCGTTTCAGTGAAATCACTGTAGAACTAAAACATCGTAATGTGAAAAGAAAAAACCCATTGAAACACATTAAAACCTGTTTAATGTGTTCCAAAGGGCTGTAAACTCACCGTCCAGCGAAGATCCTCCATAGGGCGGCCATTTTCGCTGCCTGTGCAGCGAGGAATCTGTCCCAGAAAACAGCGGGGGCCATTTTGTTTACCTGGCGGCCATTTTGAAACTGCTGGTCAGCGGTTGGAAAACCATTGTTTTGCGAAGAATCGGTCCCCGAAGCAGGGAACCGATCATCGCAATGCGAAATTCCCCCACAGGAAACAGCGTTTTGCGATTGCAAAAAATCATTGTAATGCGGTTTCATCGTTACACGGGGCAATCATAAAGCAAGACAGCACTGTAGTTTGCTAATCAGAATAGCATGAGGCACTTTGTCAAAGACGTTGCTGAAATGTCTACAGCATTTCCACTGTCTACCAGAGAGGTTACATAATCCGATAAAAAACGAGACAAACTTATTCTGGCAGGATATATTCTTGACTAATCCATATTGGCTTCTAGTTATTACTGCGTTCAAATAACTAGGTGCCAGTAGGATAATGAGCACAGTGGTAGTAATGCTGTATATAATTATAAGACAGGAGTGCAATGTTGGAGCTAAGATAACATTAGTGCATACAAGAACTATATTCAAGAATAACAGTTTAAATTCAAAGTACTTCATAAAAATAGGCAACACGGTACACATACCTGGCAAGAACACTTTCCAAGAATTCTGTGTCCTGGCTAACTTTATCTACCAGTAGATTAAAGTCTTGCTGAACTGAATAAGCCTGTTCAAGCATAACACTTGGTACTGGAGATGGGAGCAGTGTAATTGGAGCAAAATTCACCACCTGTTCAAAACAGTGTAGCAATGAATCTTCCAAATAATACTATACATTCCCTTCCCATGACTAAACATTTTAAAACATCAGCACATGCAAGACAGGGCAGGTAGCACCAGAAGAACTATACAGATAGTTCTTCATCTTTAGGAATTTGTTTGGGGGAAATCATGAGTGATGTAAGTCATAAAGCAGAAAGATTTCCAGGCATGCAGCATCATACTGGGCTGCACACTCATAATGGACCACTTCTATACTGCCAGATCACTTCATATGATCATGGGTTTCTCTACTCATTCACGTTCTTAGACAAATGCTAGCATGAAGAAAGGTAAGTGTGAAATACACAATACAGTATATGTGAATGAATACAGTGGTGCCTCGCACAGCGAAGTTAATCCGTTCCGGATTAACCCTCGCTGTGTGAAAGCATCGTTGAACGGAATGTAAAAACCCATTTAATGCGTTCCAATTGGGCCGAATACTCACCGTTCAACGATGCTTCTCTATGGCCGGCAGCCATTTTCGCGCCCTCCCCTCGCTTTACAAGGGTGA